AGGGTTCTTGCTGTCTTAGCTACCCACAAGGGATTGGTGCTGTGTGACCCAGGGCAAGTCACTGCCCTCTGGGCCTCATAGTCCTAAAGAACTTGAAAACCTGCCCAGGGATCCACTCTCAAACTATCTGATAGACCCAGAGGAGCACCATATCCTGAGAAGGGAGGTAGTGCTGGGGGCACAGGATGCCACCATGTGGTCCAGATGCCCATGGGAATCAGTTTGACCTTTCTCCTAACCTTCTTGGAAGCACTGAACAGCAGCCAACCTGCTCTGGCCTGTCTCTGGAGAACTTGGGCTTCTGCAGTCAGGGGAGCTATCCCCCGGCCTCCCACTGTCCTAATCCCCTCAGCCCTTACTCTGGCTCTGTCCTGGGTTCAGGCAGAAAAACCCACCTGGTCTCTCATCACATTCCTCCCTTCCTACACTGACCACTGGTTAGGTCCTGAAGTGACTGTTTATGGGGTTCCCATTTTTGCTCCCGGTGCCCCCACCCCCATATGCTCTGGGCTCTGCTCTAGCCAGGTTTTTTTCCCAAAGCCAAGGGTGGGAGGTGGGATTACCAGCTGATCACAGGAGGGGCCAGGTCAGCAGCACAGTGACTGGCAGGTTGGCTAGAAATTGAGAACATGGCCTGGAGTGGGGGCGGGTGTGTGTGTGTGGGGGGGCGTGGTAGGGTTTCATTGTAGAGGAGAGAAGGAAGGCCATGAGAAAAAGGCAGCACATACCAGGGTGCAAAGGCCTGAACTAAAAGGGCCGAGGATGGGACCTTGAAGAGACCAGTTTGGGCAGAGCAGGTTTCTTGGATCATTGCCCAGTAAGGAGGGGCAGGATGGGAGCGGGGGTCTCACCCAGAGACAGGCTCTAAGATTCCCTCCTGGCAGGGAGGAAGGTGTGGGCTTTCCACCCTGGGCTGGGCTGGGCTGGGCAGGGCTGGTCACACAGGATTGTGCTTGCAAGTGAAGTGTGAGAGGGGTTGTTAATGACTGTTCTCCACAGGCTGCAGGCTGCCAAGGGTCAGTCTGATAAGAGGGAAGAGATAGACTCCTTGAGTTTTATCCTCCCGACAGCTGCCTTTTCTCAGCCGGCCCCACAGACACTGGCAGTCTATTGTGTCACTACTCTTGCTCTATCTCCTCTCCTTCCTGAAATACAGGCCCTGGCTTTTGCCCCACTGGGTTTCCCAGCTTGGCCGTCAGCAACCTTCCTATGTGGTCAGATGAGGTCTGCCCTGGGGGAGGGTCAGTCCTGGCAAGACTGAGCCAGTTCAGAGCCTAACCCTGAGGTGGGAAGCCACCTAGGATGGGGCCAGGGCTCTGGGCTGAGCAGCGACTCCCAGAACTACCTGGTTTATTTTGGCCTCAGGGTCACCCTGCTGCTCAGCCAGCCAGACTTGGGTTCACAGAGCGAGCGTTTGGGGAGTCCCACCTTTGCCCCAGAGCATTGGGAGGTCTGCTGTTTTGCTGGGAGGAGGGGAGGTGGGGATCTGATGGGATTTGTGCAGGTCATTCTGGCCTTGCTGTGGAGGGGTCTCTTTCGTAGACCTAGGGCTTTAGCAGTTAGGGGACTAACATAGGTGAAGGATGGCAGTTCCTTGGATAGTGTGATGGTGGTAGACATGGAGAGAAGGAGGAAGATGAGTGATTTAGGTGGTGAAAATCAGGTGGACTTTGTAATAGGTTGCCTGAGGGAGGCTAAAGGAAGGAGGTGGCATAGATGACTCCCAGGTTTCGGGGTTGGATAGATTGGCGTCCTTTCCCAGAAACTGGGAATACAGAAAGAGGACTGGTTTGGGGTGGGCTTAGAGCATGCATGAGTTTGGTTTAGGGCAGGTTAGACGTACCCAGTATTTTGGGGTACTTCTAAGGTATATCATCTAGGGGGTTGCATCCAGAAATGAGTGGGATAGATGGGTCTGGAGTTCAGGAGAATGTCTGGCATCATTTGCAAAGCCAGATAAGACTCTTAACAGGTTGAGAGATAGGTTTAAAAAAGGTTCCCCCAAAATCCATTGCCAAACGATGAATGGAACTAGAGTCCTGACTTCCGATTGCATTCCGTGTCCCGGGTCATCTTCTCTTTCCCTGACCACTTCAGCTGGTTCAGAGCCAGGCTGGACAGCAAAAGGCATGGCTTTTTCCCTCCCTTGCTGAACCTTCCCTGTAGTTGGGGGACTCTGGTGGTGCGCATTGCTGACCCCAGGCTGCCCGGGAAGGCTGTGCACATTGGCGCTTCCCTCACTATCCGCACATCTGGGCAGTGTCCCTGGATGGAGATGGACTTGGGTCCTGGCCAGAACTGAGCCACTGCTGGGAAGCCCAGAACCACTTCTGTTCCGATCGCCTTGTGGGCCTCTGAGCTGGGTTGACCTATCAAGGACGGGGTTTTAGGGACAAGCTTAGGGCAGCCCTTCTGCACCAGATAACAAGCGATACCGTAAGTAACTTTTTAAATTCTTTTAAGTGAAATGGAAACTGGTTGTGCATGTGTTCAAGTTTGTATCAGTTTGCACTTCTTTAATTACAAAGGCCAAAAATCCAACTCAGGGTGCCCTTTGATAAAAGGGAACCCACTGACTCATACCTGATGGTGTGACTGGCCACATTCAGGGAATTTGAGGGGCTCAAACCACATCCAGCTCACTCTGCCCTTCTCTGTGGTGACGACACTCAGTTCCTACGTGATAGAAGTCACCTGCCCTCAGCGCAGGCCTTCGTCCTCTCAGTACCTCTTCCCAGGATTCCCACGGGAGTCATGGGTTCACTTGGAATTAGGGCCCATGCCCAACCTTGGACCAGGTACTGTGTCTGGGCGCATTTAGTGCTCTGGTTGTCCAGGCCTGGGCTTCATGGCACAGAGATGGTTCCTCAAAGGAAAATGGGATGTTGTTCGATCCAAACACGTCATGTATTGAGGCAGCGGGCAGTGCTAGGTATGCATTTGGACCCTTGGGGACCTTTCGTAGCTCCTGGCCTGACTCATATGCCAGAAATACCACTGTAGACAGACTAATAAGGATTTATTGCCATTTATTAATTTACTTTGTTAAAAACTAAATGCCAGAATGTAGACTGGAACTTAGAATCATTGAGTCATTCCATTTACAGATCAGGAAGTGGAGGTTGAGAAAATTTCCCGATGTTCTCAAACCAGTACTCGATAGAAGAATTGAGACCAAAACCCAGGTCATCTGAATTGCAGGATGGGGGTTCTTTCCAGGGGCATCTTTTAGGGAGGAGCCCCCTCAGCACCCCGCCTGCCATCCACAAAGAAGTCATTCATCCCCTGGGCTGCAAGACAAAGAGCTGACACAGGCAGGGGATGGCAAATGATCACTTCCTTGTGGTAGCCCAAGGCCATCTGCATGGTGGTTGGTGTTACGCAGGGATCTGTCTGAGATGAGGGAGACACTCCCTGTGACCTCAACCAGTCCCAATAACCAGGAGGCAGTGGCCCTGCTCTGGCTGACTTCTGCCTGATGCTGCCTCTGTCCCCCCTCCATCTCTCCTATTATCTTGGCTTCCTGAATGCTCACCCTCCTCTGTGTCGTTTCCTCCTGGCTAAGAATGTAGCTCCAGGGCTGCTGAGCTTTCTGGATTATGTTGGAGTATTTCCTGCTTGGGAGACTTATGCCCCTCTGTCTTCTCCCTTGGAAGAGAATGCCTGGGACAGTGATGCCAGTTTCAGGTACAGATAGACAAATAGCATGATTTTGGCCTCAGTTCTCATCACCTCCAATTTGTAAGGGTCCAGATATTTGACCCAGGTTGTCAGAGCTAGGAACGGGGTGTTGTAGAAAGAGCTCTAGGCTTCGAGCCTCCAATTTAGCAAGACACCTTAAATTCAATCTGACACACACTTGCCTTGGATGGGCCTTGGTCCAGAAAGGGAAAGCTGTCCCTGTGAGGGCCTTGGGGCTATTTGCGAGTGTGAATTGTATATTAACAAGATGCTGAAGTCCTGGAAGCTTGCGGGCAGTCCTCACCCGCTCCTCGGTACCCAGGGAGTAAGGTAGGGCTCTTGCGAGTTTGGGACTGAATTCCTTTTTCATTTTGACCATCTCCTCCGCCATCTTTCTTCCTGCCCTTCAGTTATTTGCTGACAGCCAGTTCTTCTCTCCTGAACTGTCTGCCAGCCCAGACCTACCAGTGTGCTCTGTCTGCCCCTCCCGCTCAGCTCCCAGAAGCCCCCTGGCCTGCCTGTTTCTGTCTTGGGCTATGTTCTAAGTGGTTAGGCAGCCTGGACCAGACCGCCCTGCCCCCTGAAGCTTAGCTGCAGTGTTTGCTCTTGTCCCTGCCTCTTTCCTCTCTGTGAGGCTGTGGCTTGGTGGGACCTCGGGTACATAGTGTTTTGCAGCTTACAGTCATCGCTTATTTCATCTTGGCAAAGACTATGAGGTAAGTACGGCAGGCATTATCACACTCGTTTTACAGATGGAGGACCTGAGGTCCAGAGAGATATGTGATTTGCCCAGAAACACAACTGTCAAATAAGAGAGCCAGTCCTGGAATTGAGGTTCTCTGGCTTTTTAGCCTAGAGTTCACTGTAAAATGTTAACTCATCGGCAGGTGTGGGGTGGGGATGCCCCAGTCTCGCCAGGAAGGCCTAGGGCTTGAAAACAGGCCCTGGGCCCCACCTCTTAAAGCCCCCAGGTCACCCCTGCACAGCTCCAATGAGCTCCATTATGTTGGCCATCCCCATGTAACCCCCAAGATACATAATAAAGCCAGACAACAGAGACCACTCCCTAGGGACTGCCATAATGGACCCTGGTCTTTGTATTTCTTTCCTCCACATCCCCCGTGCATGTCATCTTAGCAGGGAGTGTATAACTTAGGCCAGTTTCAGGAGGATGAATCACTCCTTGAGGCGGGGACTGGGGAGGGTTCCTTGCCCCCTCCAGTTCTCTCCCGGCTCCCTTCACTTGGGGGTGAGGGTTAGAGGCAGCGCAAGGGAAGGCTCCCTATGTGCCTACTCATAGTAACTGATATTGCCACTTCCCAGAGGTGGTGAAGTGGATTACCTAGCAACCTTGGGGATATTTATTCCTCTCAGGGGCCCTGCTTGAGTCAGTCATGGCATGTTATCACTCCTCCATGAAGAGGAGGATTGCTCAGGCAGAAATGAAAATAGGTGTGGGCGTGGCCCAGCTGGGCAGCTGGCCTCTCCAGTTCACCAGCCACCTGCTCTCTGCCTCCCGGAGCTGAATGTTAGAAAAGCGAGGGCACAGGGCAGGAGTGCTTTCCCAAAGCCACTTGCGGGGTTGACGCTAGAAGTCAGACTGGGCACAGGCTCAGGGCTGCTAACTGGAACTTCCAAGGTCTCTGTTGGAAAGACGACATCTAGAGGACATAGCAACCGAGCAAGGTACCGACTCTGGGCTTCTCCATCCTTTTACTTTGCCACTTCTGGGGAAGACAAGGGACATTGCTGCCCTTTAATCTGATCCAAGCATGGATGCAGACACCTTTGGGTTTCCATTAGCATAGCTGCCACAGGCTGACGTTTCCAAAATACATGACTAAGTACAAAAGGAGAACAAAAGAAAGCTAAAGATAGAGTGTACGAAGAACAGAAACAGCCTGGCTCACAAAGTACAGGCTCACTAGTTTGTTTCCAGTTTTTTTAGAGTACTCTACCCACTGGAGACACCACCTCTAGGGCCAGCACACCTCTGCCTGCCCTTCTACCAGAGTCTCTGGCCTCCTAGCACTGTCTCTCTATCTAAGACACCCCCTGGGACCCACACTACCATGAATTCTCTCCGAGACAGCCGGTCCACCTCCTGGTCAAGTGCCTGTCCCATCCTCCTCTCTACCCATGTGTGTGTATGTGTGTGTGTCGGGGGGGGGGAAGGGGGGTCTAGCTCCTTCCCTAGGCCCCCTAGGGGATTGGCACCTACATGACTGTACCTTACAGGAATGCTGTCTTAATCTAAGTAAGCCTTGTAATAGGACCCGTCTCTTGGTCCAGTGCTCAGGCCGCAGCTTAGCTCATACGCTGCCATAGGAGGGCTGATGGTGCTCTAACATCTGATCTTGGCAGGAACTGTAAAGTCTCCCCACCTGGTTCCTTCCTCCTACTGAGCCATAAGACTAGAAACTGATAAAAAGTTGGCCTGGTGAATGGAAGTTTTTGGATGGTTTGGCGGAAAGATTATTCTGGGTTGTTTTTTTTTTAAACCCAAAAAACAAAAAGAACACTTTGAAGTCATCTAGTGTTAATAAAGGAAGTAGATAAGAGCCTGCCCATAAAACTTAGTTCCCAGCCTGCAGCCCGCCTCTGCGTCCCGTCTGGTATGCAAGTGGTGCCCAGACACCAAACAGGTCTCCACACTCCACACCGCTGCCTGCCAGCACACACGACGCTCCCTTTTCATATCAAATGCTCACATGAAGCCACAAAATACCAGAAGACCCGCTGCCTCACAAGGAAATGTGGGCAGCATGGACAGAAAAAGGGAGGTTGTCGTCAGTTGCCTCCCGCTGTCCCCACCCTACTAAGGTTGGAGACTTTTAGAGAAATTTGCCCCCAGCAAAGTAAGCCTCCACGCTTGCAGCCCAGGCTGTCACTTTCATGGTCCCAGAGGCTTTGGCAGACATTCCACCTGGGTGGCTTGGCTGGGCCATGAGGACTGAAAAGTTACAGCCAGAGGTCATCCCAACCCAGTGGAAGTGGGGGGCATTCCTGGGGCTGATGACAGAGAGCCTTGTTCTCACCTGCGCCTTCAAGTGAGATGCTAGCCCTAGCTGAGTGAATGTGCTGCTGTTGACCTCCAGTCCCTTGGGCTGGGAGAGGGGAGAATCCCAGAACCTGGGCTGCTGCATTCCGAAGGAGGAGCACTTCTGGACCCTCACATTCCAGAAGCTCTGTCAGCATTCTCAGGGCTGTAGCTTGTCCTATGTGTCGGAGCTTTGGGCCAAGCTCATTTCAGTGTGCCACCCAGGAATAACTGGAGTCTGCTGTCTGGTTGGCTGAGGGCCTGGAATCCTGCTGGGTCGTGCATATGCAGTGACTGCACAGACCCCAGTCCTGCAAGCCTTCCTGGGCCCAATCTTGCAGGTTCACAGTGCTGGTGGTTGGGTTATGACCTCTCCCCTGGTATTCTCTCCCCTATCCTCCCATCCCACAGAGGATGTGGGGGTAGATACTAGAGTTTTAAGTTGAGTCCTTCAACTCTGGACCTGGGCCAAGGCCTGGGTGGAGTTTTGAGCCACAGACACTGTGGCCTGGAAGCTTCTAGAAGCATAGCTTCTCCCTTTCCTAGGTGTGCTTTGGCAGGACGTGTATGTGCCTTAGCTCAGCCCTTCTCCATCAGCGCCTGCTGGAATCTAGCAGGCCTGCGTCTTCGTTAGGGTGGCCAACCTTTCAGTGCTTACAGGGGAAGGGCCCCTTGCCTAGGTCTGGGCTCGGGAAGGCTCAAGCGAGGGCAATGGCGGAAAGCAGAAGCACCAGTCCTGCCCCCTTCCCCAGATGAGGGCGAGAGTGATCAGATTCAGGGATTTCTGGCGTTGCTTTCCAAGGGTTGGGAGAAAGAGGGCTGGTTGGAAGTTAGAGAAAGCCCTGCTCCTTTCTGCCATTTTGTGTGAGCCACAAGCTCCTTTAGGAGAGCATTTGCTCTTTGTCCCCAGCCCCTGGGGCTTCCTTCTCAGTTTGCACGCCCTTGCCCAGGAGTGTTCCAGGGAGCTGACTGATTCCCTGCCATGTGGGTGCATGTGTTGGGGAAGAGAGGGCTGAAAGTTACCCGGAGAGACTATTGACTCTTCCTTCTCGCCCCGCTTCCTGTGAGGATGATGGAGTGCAATGAGACGCTCTTCTAAACCTTCTCGTAGACGCACCCTGCTCCTCCCACCCCAGGGGGGAGGGGGTGTATGTGTTTGGGGGAGCCATTGTTGAGGCGAATTGGATTAACCTGTGTTTCTGAGGAGAGCGAGAAGAGTTTCCTTTGATAAGAGTGAGTTTGATAGGGAGCACGGTCCTTTTCCCCAATGGGGACTGTAAGTTGAGGATTGGCTCACCTTTTCTCGAAGCCCTCGGCTCTGCCCTTCACCAGTGCTCTGACTGGTTATGCCCCTCGGAAGGCCTCTGGGATAGGCCATGGAATCGTATCACCAGCTCCCATCTCTTTAGAGAGCAAGGCCTACAGTTGGGATCTGGAATGCCAGTCTCTGAGGTCAGCTGCCCCCTGGCATACCCTTGAAAGAACAGCCCTCCTCGGGGAGCCCTGGGTGGTGGGCAGGCTGGAGGGGCTAGGGGCAGTCCTCAAAACAAAGCAGCCCCATTGCTGTGCTCCTTGACAGAGCGGGAGCTACAAGGCCCTTGAAAGAAGTGCTGTGCTAAGGGGCTCTACAAGGCATCAGAGGGCTGAGGGCCCCATGCTGTCTGCCACTCCCTGGTGGCAGTAAATATTTGTTGAATGAGCATATCCTCTGCTTTTCTCTTGAGATTCAAACATAGCCCAGACATGCAGACAAGCGCAGAAGGAAAAGGAGGGCCCTGCAGCTTCTCTGCAGCTCTTCATCATACATCTGTGGTATGACTGAGGTCAGAATCATACAGGCTGAGGACTAGCCAAGCCGCTTGGTGCTCTAACCTTCTCTTTAAAGGAAATGAGAGCAGACCGTAAGGGCCCTAGGCCCCTGACGCTGGACGGCAGAGGTGGGGATAAGGTCTGAACCCATAGCTCTCTAGACCCCCGTCTGGCTTGCCTTGGGTCACCGTTTCTTCATCCCACCCTCTGCTTCCTCTAAAAATCCCCAAAGGAATTTAGATTGTTTCTCATTCATCTACCTTCGGGGTCTTCCACCAGTCTCCTGCCTCTCTTAATGTCTGAGGCTTTCAGGCCTGTGGAGAAACCCCTTATTAACTTTGTCTTTTCTATAATCTTGTTGCCAGACTGTGGCTAGAGAACCACTGTGGGATGGGCCTTGGCAAGCTGTTTAAAACCAGCTCAGGGCAGGCCTCTGCTCTGTGTGATCTGGTGAAGTGGCAGCCGGGGAAGAGGTGACAGGCTCCATGACCCACAAGCTCTGTGACAGGACAGGATGGACATAGCACTCGTCCCTGCGCAGCCTAGGAGGAGCTAAGGGTCAACTGGGGCAGAGCTGACTTTGAGACTTCAGGTCCGTGCTGTCCACCTCACCTCCCTGGAAGTGGCTGCCTGCCACTGGGTGAGGGAGGAGGCAGTGCCTGTGGTTAGCCAGGAAGGGAGGCTCTGGAGCAAGACCCTGGCAGTGCTGGCCTAGGGGAGGCCAGAGAGGCGTTGGGGCTGTTGAGGAACCCATGATGCCTCTCCAGCGTCTTGGGGCTCCAGCCCAGAAGAGCTGCCCCAGCTGGGGCTAACAGAACTCTGGTTCTTAGTCTGCCCCACCCTGGAAGCACAGGCACTAAGCTAGGAGCTGTATGCCTCTTATTCTTACAGAAACCCTCCAAGATGGGAGATAGTCCCATTTTACATATAGAGACACAGATCAGAGGGGTTAAATTAATAGCTGGCAAGTGGCAGTGCCAGAACGTGACTCCAAGTTTTTCTAGGCACTTTCTTCTTTTGGGAGGCTTGACTGGAAAGAGGTTTTGAGCTGGGGTGAACAGATGAGCGCTCTGACAAGCCCTAGTAGGGAGGACTGCAGCCTGCAGTGCTTAAGGGAATAATGAGAGAGTACCATTTTAGTACCCTGGTGTGTCTCTGCTGACAGAAAGTTCAGAGCAGGATATTTTTTTGTTGTTTTAATTTTATTGGGGAATAGCCATGGTCATTGGTTACACATTGCTTTCATGCTACAATGGCATAGTTGACTCTTTTAGGGAGGACGCAGCTCACAGTGGCCCATGGGGGGAATCGAACCAGCAACCTTGGTGTTATCAGCACCGCGTTCTAAACAACTGAGCTAACCGGTCATCCCCAACAGTGGGACACTTTGACCATTCCTGTGGTCCAGGCAGCTTGTGTGACTTTTACACACACCTTTCCCTTTGCCTCAGATTTGTTAGGTCTGTTTTGTACCTGAGGTCTTGTGTTTTTTGGTGGTCCACAAGAAGGTGGAGAAAGCTTTCACTTCTAGAATGTCAGAGCTGGAAGAGTAGGGGCAAAATGTAATTATCACTTTCATCTGCATACTTACATAATGATTTATAAAAATGGCTTTGAAGCATTTTTTTATTACCATTATTTCTTGTGATTCTTGTAACCCTGGGGTTATATATAGAGATGATACTCAGTTGGACAAATATTTTTTGATATCTAGTCTATGTAGGCCAATGCTAGGTCCTACGATGATGATACAGAAATGACAAGTTATAAATAATATGATCTCTGTACACTTAGAGTTTATATTTTAAATGAAGATGATAGACATGCACATTTTTAGGTTCTGTGTAGGATCTTAATAAATATGGGCCAGATTTGGCCTATGGTCCAAACTAGTTCATAATCCCTAGAGCAGCGGTTCTCAACCTGTGGGTCGTGACCCCTTTGGGGGTTGAACGAACCTTTCACAGGGGTTGCCTAAGACCATCGGAAAACAAAGATATTTACATTATGATTCATAACAGTAGCAAAATTACAGTTATAGAGTAGCAACGAAAATAATTTTATGGTTGGGGGTCACCACAACTGTATGAGGAACTGTATTAAGGGGTCGCGGCACTAGGAAGGTTGAGAACCGCTGCCCTAGAGGGTAAGGTATGGTGAGAGATGAGGCTTAGGAGAGTGGCCTGGTTTGGGGATCTCTGGATGCTGTGTTAAGAAGCCTGACCTTGGTCCCATGAATAAGGGCGCCTCGTCTTGTATGCAGGAAGACGATGAGTTTATTCAGTATGAAGTGCCATTTGAACATGCTGAAGAGGCAGTTGAGAATGTAGGTCTAGAACCCAGGGTAGAAGGGCAAGCTCTTAGATGTGGAAGGGGGTGGTGCACAGTGGAGAGGCAAGGAAGCAAAAAGGGCGGAGGGCAGAACCGTGAGGATGCCTTAGTAGCGCAAACAAACAAGGAAGTCCTGAGTCAAGAAAGTGGATCGTGGGCCGGCCGAGTGGCACGTTGGTTAAGAGCTGGCTTGGGATGCCAGAGGGCCCCAGTTCAGATCCCACATATGAGGGCCAGTGACACTGCCCTCTACAGCTAAGATGCTGAACAACAGCTCAACCTGGAGCTGGGCTGCTGTGAGTCGCCGGCATTGGCGTAGGCTGCAGCCCCTGTGGCAGTGGGTTGCCATGGGCTACTGTATGTAGCCAGCAGCCAGCGTGAGCAGCCAGCAGCGGGCGTGAGTGGCCGTCCAGAAGCCGGCAACTGATCTGCCTCGGCTGGGAAGA